ATTGGTAATTATTAAGACTCCTATATTATATGACTGTCTGACTACGAAGGGGCTATAAAGACATACTACTACTCATTACTGGGTTCTTGTTAAAGGATTTAATTTAAGTTACCATAATAGGGATCTATAGTAAATAATATGGTTTCCCTATTATGGTAACTTAAATTAAATCCCTTAACAAGAACCCAGATTATGTCGACCTCTCGGTCGGGTCGAGAGTCTCAGAATCCAAGATGATGCCGCCGCCTTCTTGGAACCCATACTGTCGATGATCTAAACCCTGCATTACCTTAAGGACCCTAAACTATATGAATTCTGGTATATTCCTTAAGGACCCTAAACTATATGAATTCTGGTATACTCCTTATTATGGTTAATGCAGGATTTATACCATCGACCGTCTCTCACAACAAGGGAATCACGTACTTCAGCCACAAGGAGGGTGTGTCTTTGCATTCAGTGCTCGATGCTCAAACGGAATGGCATCGCAGCGCTTGGCTTGAGCCGGTATGTTAGTATAATGTAGGGGGCTTTAATAATTAGAATAGGGTTTCGGGGCCCATTATACTATAGTTAGGAAAAGGAACCCTAAGAAATAATATAGGCGGCAATTACTTAGGCTTCTATATTAGGGGCCCTAGCAATTAGAATAAGCTCTTAGGAATTATCCCGACCCCCATTGTTAATGTAGGGTCCATACTAATTAGAACAGTTTTTTTTTTGCAGGGGGTGGGGAGGGTTCCTTATTATAACTATCGTATTCTATGACCCCCAAACCCTATTATAATTACGAAGGCCCCCATTGTTAGATGCTTCGGGAACTACAGGCTGTTTGGGAATGTTCGGCTCTTCTTTGCGGGCTTCAAGGCAGGTGGACATCACCTTCGGGTGTGAAGGCCTCGTTGAAGGATTCTGCTTAGCCTGGAGGCTACATAACCATACAAAGCCTACACCCTGCCTTTAAACCCCTAAGCCATCCTAAACCCCTGTCTTACTTCTGTGTGGCCCGCTGGATCTTGTGCTTCGGGTCTTTAGAGTAGAACCGGGTTAGTTTTTTGGTGTATGGGGCGCAGGGAGAAGCTTCTTATGATCCTTCTATGTAGTGCCTGTCAAGTCGAGCAAAAAAATTCCGCAACACGCCCGGTCTGTCCTGGGTGCCGACAGCGGCTTCCTTCATGTGAAGCTTAACCTACTGAGGTCATCCTCTCTTCGATGCAAAACGGCAGCGGGCCGCACGGAAGTTTAGGATGGCTTAGGGATTTACAGGGCAGGGTGTAGGGTTCATATGGTTTGGCGTAAAGTGTCACCGCACCGGCTAGTCAACATGGAACCCAAGTGCTACCCTCTGAATGGACAGTAGTTGATCATCGGACTCACCTGGCCTTCCATCTTAGCATTGCATAGGGGAGTGTGCATAAATAGTGTGAACATTGGCCCTGAACTTACTTTCGAAATTGAACATTTAAGGCCAAAGTATAAACTCCAGAGGCGCATGGAGCCTTCGGGACAATTTGTTCTTCCCTGAAGATGTTCGTGTTTGCCAGGATAACTACAACATGGAGCTACAACCCTCGTCCGGCTACTTCACTGAGGGACGCTGATTTGAAATGACGAATTGCAACCCTCAACTCAACCTAAACTCCAGAAAGTAGGTGAAATAATGGCCCAAGACCTACAAAGGGCTATTATTCTAAATACTTTGGGTGTCCAGGCAAGCGTTAAACCGTCTCCTTACAGCTCATACCCCACGCTGTGCAACCCGAGATTTCGGGTCTCAAGAAGTGGGAGGTGATGATTTGGAGCTGAGGTATCTGAAACCCTAAACCCTGAAACCCTAAAACCCAAAACCTACGGGTTTCATGTGTTTGGCGTAAATATTTAGGGGACTCAGCAATCAGATCAGATCTGGGGAATCTAGGACTGACTTTCTTGAAGCAGGACAGGCTTAAATGGAGTACCTCTCCCAACTCCCAGTCCTCTAATGGTTTAGACTTGGGCTGGCCCAGTTTACCCGGGCCACCGGCAATGGACACCGAGGTGGCGAAGTTCTTGAGAATGTTGTCCGCGTACTTGATGACAGCCTCGTTGAAGGGCTGACACAACAGGCGCCCCCTCCTTGCTCTGTGTATGTATACAGTATTTATATATTTGCAAATATGCAGTGTGCGCAGAGGAGAAGCATACAAAAACAGTTTTGCGCTCTTTAGAGTATAACACACACACACACACTCCGAACTCGGAACTCCCATGTGTGTTCCTTTCAAGACCCTCTGCGAACAGAAATGCAGCCAAGTCACGGCAATCAGCAGACCTGCAGAGGTGTTGAAGAATGTCGATCTAGGGGTGTGGGACAGCAGAATGCAACTATCCCACTACCGTAGAGTTTAAGGTTTGTGGTTTAGGGTTCAGGGTTGAGGATCCCTAAACCCTAAACCCTAAACCCTTTCTCCTTCGGAAGGCTCTAAGTGCGAAGGGCCCTGCCTCCGAATGCATTGTTGCAAACAGAGGCGCAAATCCAAGCATTGTAGCCTTGGCAGTCAGGGGTCGGTTTAGGGCTTTTAGGGTTTAGGGCTTTGGGTTTAGGGCAGTGGCAGAGAATGTAGAAGCCATCCATGGATGGTTCATCAGGGGCCTACGCTACGTTCCCTAGGTCGAACTCTACTCGTCGAAGCCCAATGCTGAACGTCTGGGAGAACTAATGTAGGGGTCTTCATAATTAGAATAGGGTTTTGGTGTATATATACTATATAACTAGAACAAGAAACCCCCAAAATCGTACTGGTAATTATTTAGGCCCCTATAGTAACCCAAGGTCCAGCACAGCTGGATTTCCAACCAAGGGAGCCCTTCTCGGCCTCCACTGGTGCTCAAACTCGTCTCCCATTAAAGCTCCATGTGCCCACATAGTATATACTTAAGCCTGAAAGTACCTATAGAGGGACCCCTTTACGGCTTAAGTGTGTACCCATCTAGTATAAACTTCAGCCTGAAATTACCTATAGAGGGACCCCTTTACGGCGTAAGTATGTACCCATCTAGTATATACTTCAGCCTGAAAGTACGTATAGAGGGGCCTCTTTGAGGCTTAAGCATCTACCATAAAGGTACTTGAAGCCTCTGGGTTCTACTGGACCGGAGCATGAGTAATAAGTGGTGTGAGGACATGGATCTTCAGGGTAAGGGTTTAGGGTTGAGGGTTGAGGGTTTAGGGTTTAGGGTTTAGGGTTTAGGGTTTCGGGTTTAGGTTTTAGTTTTTGTAAAGTGCAATGGCTCTTTCTTCGCACGCAGGTCCTCGAGCCCGCTCTGTTGCCGAGCTTGCACTAGGGTTTAGGGTTTAGGGCCTACAGGGTTTAGTAAGGTTTGAATGGAAGCGATGCTCTGCCATCAAATGCAGGCTGAAGTGGACTCCGCAGTGCATGAAGAGTGCACCAGGACAGCAGATCAAAGGACGGAAAACGACATACTCGCCGGCTCCCAAATCATGAGGCAAAAGGATTCAGTGCCGGCTGAAAGGTTAAACGATGTGGCATTATAACTTCTCCCCACGCCAGCAAAAGTATAATAATATACGGGCCTTAATAATTAGAATAGGGTTTGGGTATTTTATACTAAAATCATAATAAGGAACCCCCAAAAAACCCTCTTCTACTTATTAAGGCCCCTACATTAAGCATATCATTGACTCTAAAGTCGGACCCCGAGCCGACCGGGATCCGCGCCGTGGAAAAAACCATGTCTTTGGATTCCTGGCAATCTGCTGCTCTCTCGAAGCTGCACCCATATAGGCCCCATAGTAGTTCCTTTTTTTGGGATTCCCTCATCGGATCCTAAATATCAGCCACACAAAGGAACTACTATGGGCCTTCTGGCATTGCATCTTTGGGATTCCCTAATAGTATCCTAAATATAAGCCGCAAAAAAAACTATCATGGGGCCTATGGGTGTAGCATCAATGTAGCAAGAGGACAGGAATGCCGCAGGTGTCGCAGCTTGCTCAGACCCCCAGAAACTGCAGTAGAAACGGTTTAGGGTTTAGGGTTTTTGGGGCCTCGGCCTGCAACGGTTTTGCAGACATGTCTTCCTGAATTTGTCACCCGCAGGATTTTGGATGGCTAGATCAACACAGTCTTAGAGACTCCTACATGCCGTAATGACTACGGCTCCCCGGAACACCACAAAGCATCAAGCAACGCTTCCGAATCAGTGAGGGGACTTCTTTCGTAATCCGAGGCGGCCTTCAAGATCACCAGTTCCTGCCAGCCCCGCCAGCCCAATCCTGAGTTGAGGCTCTTTTGAAAGCCAGACCCCTAGGCTTTCAAGGCTCATGTCTTATGGCCGTTGGGCATGCTACCCTGAACCCTAAACGTTGAGCGCCAGGGAAACTCGGAGGGTACCAGAACAGACCCCTATGTTCTGCATCGACATCTGCGTCGTTGTTGTCGGAAACATCGTTGTTGTCGGAAACATTCCTGTCTCTAGTTGCATGCCGTCGTGCATGTGTCGCGGCTGGGGTTTCTCCGTCTGAGCTTTTGGACTCGATTTTGGATCAAGAGCCCTACCTAAACCCCCAAAAGGAGGCAAAACAATGTTTAAAACAATGGCCCCAAAACCCATAAAAGGCTAGTGCTCTACATACTGTTGGGGTCCATGTGGGGGTTTCTGAAAATAGGGGACCCTAATATAGGGGCCCGTTCTGGAGTCCGGGTCGCTGTGGGAGTGCGCTTTTTTAGTTGTTGTTATGGCTTCTAAAATCCTTAACGTTACCGTTATCGAATCGGCTTGTATAATTTATATGGATATGCGTTCATGTGCGTATATGTATGTATGTATGTATGTATGTATGTATGTATGTATGTATGTGTGCTTGTATGCAAGCCTTTCTATATATCCACTTGCATGCATGTATACATGTAGCGTGTTTATGTGTCTAATGGCACTCCCAAGTACACATTACCCTCATACTATATAAAATAACATTCACTACGTGCGATACGACATGAAAGATCACGGGGTGCCAAGCACACAAACTCTACGCTGAATCTTGATTCTATCAA